CTTGGGTACGATTGTATTTTCCCCCAGAATGCATCAATCTACATAGATCTTTTCTGAGATAGCAAACATGGTGCATTGTGGTCTAGCTTGGGTACAACATTGGGTCATTTCATTATGTCAAAGTTGAGGACAAACATCTTTTGTTCATCATGTCTTATATGGTGTTGTTTGTACCCAAGCTAGAMCACAATGCATCCTGTTTATCGAACTCAGAAAAGGCCTATACCTAACAGAATGTCGCTGTTCTTTTCTTTTCTTGGTCTTATTTTACTGTTATTCCTTTTTTTTCTTTCTTTCTTTCGATTTGATGACCAGTATCCTTTTTTATCTTCGACAGAGCCTTCATGGATGGAATCGCAAAGAAGATCGATCAGACGCAGCTAAAATATGGAATCGATTTTGACATGTAGGCAGTTCATGTTTCGAACTTTTCTTTTAATGCAATAGACGTCGTATTGATAAGGTGGCCATCTTGAATTATGAATTATGAATTTACTGAAGCGAGTCCTTTGTTGAGATTTAATCAATTCAATTTCAGGAATGAGGATGATGAAGAAGACGGCTTTTCACCACATCCAAAAGGTACTTTTTTGACGGTGTAACGTGGTTTGTTTACGCGCTAATCGCTATGAAAACATTTATTTATTTTCGATTGGCGATCCAAATGCAAAGAACTGCAGGCAGATTGACAAAAAGACTGAAGCCTGGTTCACACTAGCGTAGGAATCGGAATCGCAAGCAACATACGCAGACCGAGTCAATATTGCATTTATCACCAGATGTGAAAAATAATAAGCACTGTTAATGAGCAGTACGCTACTAAGTCTGTGTATGTTGTTTCAGATTCGGGTTCCGACGCTAGTGTGAACAAAGCTTAATGGAGAAATGAACTGAAAGACAAACAGACAGACAGACAGAATAATAGACAGACAGATAGACAAACATACCCTTTGATAACTATAGCGGTAATACTTAACTAACGAAAGACCATGAGAAAAAACGTGTCGTGTCCATTTTCAATGAATGAACGGTATTGTTGCGCATTGTAATTGTTTAAAATAAAAAAAATTTATATTTTATCACCACCACTCCCCATGCGGGGCTCTTCCATGAGGTTCCCTCCACACGCACTACCACTACATTTTATATTGTTTAAAAAGATCTTGTCAACTCCCAACCGTGACCGTGCCGATTCACAATTATTCGTCAACGTACTTTATGCTATACTTTCGTTAATATTCTGCAAACTTATTCTTATTTTCATTTCCAACAGTTCTAAACTACGTGACCAGATTAACAGAGTCTCAACTGCGCATGTTTTTGATCATGTGCCGGGATAAGTACCTTCGGGCCCGTATGGAGCCAGGTACAGCCGTAGGGGCCATTTGCGCTCAGAGTATCGGAGAACCCGGTACACAGATGACCCTCAAGACTTTCCATTTTGCTGGAGTTGCGTCCATGAGTATCCTCTGGTTGTGTGTATAAAGCTGAAAATCTAATGGAATCGATAGGTATCGGGACCGGTATTTTGGAAGAAGGAAACCAACGTAGGCACTCCCCCGTCTACCATTTCGCTCCAARAAAGGAGGCAGCATGGTCGAGTTGTTATAACGTCGGTCTCGCAATCCGGTGGTGCTGGGTTCGAGTCCCGCTGTATTTGTCCTGATTTCTGATAAGTTCAGATTCAGTTTCTCGACCATGCTTGTAAATAGCCAACTGGTTTGCCTCCTTGCCAGTTGGGATTCTTAAAACACTTTATGTTTCTTTGACTATTTCTTTATTTCAGTTTATTAATTTGTGGACTACACTACAGTAACACTAGCAGTTAGCTAAGTGTACTTTGCACGTTAAATAGGTTAATCCCCCCCCTTTTTCTGCTGTGATTTGAAGGGTTCTTCTACAAAAGCTAAGGAATACTTAAATGATTGTCGTGTCGTAGTGTGGGAAAATACGCTACTATATGACTGACTTACAGCATGTACACAGTACGACATGCCGTGACATTGAAATGGCTTCCCATAAGAATGGTGTTATTTCCATGTCTTGTATTCCTTGACTTAATGTCCTAAAGACATCACACTTGGTGTACCACGTATCAAAGAAATCATCAACGCTTCACGTAAGATCAGCACACCCATCATATCAGCACAGCTGATGCAAGATAATGACGCTGAATTAGCTCGTGCTGTCAAGGGCAGGATAGAGAGGACTCTTCTGGGCGAGGTTTGTAGGGAAACGCTAAAAAACTAAAAATTGCCACCTTCCTTTCGCACCATGCTTTTATGGTGTTATTTGTACTGAAGCTAGATCAGAATGTAGCAATCTCCATAGATCTTTTTTGAGATAATTCTTTGTGAATTTAGTGAATGTAGTAGTAGGTGTGTGGAGCGAACCTTCCACAGTATAACCCCTTATGGGAAGTGATGTTGTAACACATATATATCTTTATATAAATATAACTCTACTCGTATATTATCCATTCCAAGGTCGACTAGGAAAGTGCTGGTATTACAGTGCATTGTGGGACTGTAATAGGGGGACAAATTTCCAAGATGGCGTCTATTTTGCCCCCTTAAAAAGTCCCACAATGCATTGCAATGCCAATTCGATCCAGTTTTTTCCTCAACCTCGGAGTTGCTACTAATGGTGAGTCCGAAGACCCATGACCCGACGGTGAAAGGTGTTGCATTAGTTAACATTGTTTTGTATTTGTTGTACCAGGTGACAGAATACATAGAGGAGGTGTATACACCAGACAGCTGTTATCTGTTAATTAAGCTTGCTGTCCCAAGAATAAGACTGTTGAAGGTACGTGCTATAATCTATWTTTTTTATTCGCCGTTTCGGAGTTGTGCAAGAAAACTGGTGACTAACAAAGCGCGCGTTGCATTCTGGAATGAGGGACACTTCATTCAGCAAGATGGCTTCTGTTTTGTTGGAAGAACAATATTATTTTGATTTGTTCTTTTGATCTGGTATTGCCGCTTTGAAGTTGTGTAAGAAACTAGTAACTGGTCAGAAATCGAGAAAGAAAATACGATCGTTAATTGTGCTTCTTCATTTTACATTTATTCCAAAAATATTGCCACAATGGATAATAGAGTAATGGATATGTTTTCAGCTTGAGGTTGATGCTTACTCCATACGCACGTCATTATGCGAAGCTCGTAAATTAAAGATCAATCCACAGGTGAGTTTAACCACTATATCACATCGTACTAAAGCCAGCTCAAGCCTGTTTGTTTCTTGATGGGAGTCGCAGTCGCAGTCGCAGTCGCAGTCGCAGTCGCAGTCGCAGTCGCAGTCATAAATGCAGTCGCAGACACAGACGCAGTCATAGTCGCAGTCGCAGTCGCAGTCATAAATGCAGTTGCAATCGCAGTCGCAGTCGCAATTATGACGAAGTGAAAATCAAAAAAATGGAGTAGGAATTGCAATCGGATACGCGTTGGAATCAGAAGAATCGAAAGTTTTTCTTCGGAAGTCTTTGTTTGTGCTAATGACGAGCGTTTTACACTTGCTATTTCACACATGAGCTGTTTTCGTGTCTGATTCCGCAAGTGAAAACCACGCTTGATGTAATTGCATATTTTGGTCTAGCTTAGGTATCATCATCTTTTGTTCATCATGCTTCGTGTTGTGTTGTCGGTACCCAAGCTAGACCACAATGCATCCTGATCATTTAACTCGGAAAAGGGTGGAGAAGCAACCATACCATCCTTACTCACCCAACGATTGATAGCAGAGCATCGTTTTTTCCCTTTTCTCTGTGTTTTCAGAACGTGCAGATCCATAGCAAAGCCGTAATAACTGTTCACCCAACTGAGAACAGCAAAAGCTCTTTACATTACATGATGCAGTTCCTGCGAGGAGAACTACCCAATGTGCTCATCAAGGTAAAATGGTAGACTATTGAGGCTTTGTACCATCACGTGATGGCAGCCATGACAGGAGGCAGGAACAATTGAATCTGGTCTAGTCTCATTTACATGAGAAAGGATTCACTATCCCAGGGGGAAAAGACTCTGTTGTTGTGCCTCCTGTCATGGCTTCTCTAGAGTATCATTTCTTTGTTTTTCAGTTTTTCAATAGACCTCTTTAGTTCGGGCGTAATGTTTTTCCATTTCAGACCACGTGTCATTACCTCGAGAATCATTACTTCGTTTAACGATTGCATGAGACAAGACACATGAATATGGATGCAACTAAAACAAAGAATCTTATTCTCAAGGGAATGACACGTAGTCTGAAATAGAAAAACAATAACGATCCAAAAAACAAGACTTTGTCGATTCAATTCGTCACGGTTCTCATTCCAGATCCCGATACCATTTCTTCAAAGTCWTTTCTAACATAAATAGTTCCTATCATTTCTTTAACGATCAAACCGTTCTTCTCGYAGGGCCACAAAAATGTCAACCGTGCGATAATCCACATCGACGATGAAAGCGCGAGTGGCGAGGAACGCTACAAGCTTCTTGTTGAAGGAGATGACCTACAGGGTGTCATAGCAACCATGGGTTCGTATAGACATGAGAGGGCTAATCATATACAAGCAGGGGTCCCGGCATGGGGGGCTGGTTGTCCACTTTCCATCCTATTTTTTTTACGTGGCCCTCTATTAAAACAAGATATCTATTAAAATAGACTTTTAATTTCCCAATTATTTTTGGGGTGGACCCCCCTTAAATGCCATATTTGTTACGTGCCCCCCCCCTAAATCCCACCAGCCCCTGCCCC